ATGTGAGAGAGTGGTATGTGAGAGAGTGGTGTGTGACTGTGCCCTGCAAGGGGTTGGCGCTCCATTCTGGGTTGTTCCCTGTTTGCACCCGTAGCCTCCAGTACAGGCTCCCTGAATAGGACAGTAGTTATGGAGAATGGATGGATGGATATTAAACAAATATAACATAAAACTATCAAAATGGTTCCAGCATCATGTGTTGGCTCAGCTGTGCATGTGATCTCGTCCTCGAAGGAATAGTTGCATCTTCGTTGGGCCCTTAACCTCCCAAAAGGCTCCAGGGGCCCCAGATAAATGGCTGACTGTGCCCTCATACACCAAACTCTGCTCGGTGTTTGTGCCTCAAAAAGAGAGAGAGGCAGGATATGTGGGGACTAACATGAGACTGACAGAAGGGGATCCATCATCTGGGACGTCAGCCACCCAGCTCACACTCCCTTAACACTCCTGTCCTCTGGAAAACGCTACCGGTGCATCACCCCCCCCACCTGTTTCAGGGACAGCTTCTCTACTCAAGACAGTGACCGAGACAGTGGCCTGCATCTGTCCCCCCCACTGCATTGTACTGCACATTGTTAAAATTCCACTTCTGCACTTTATTAGTATTTATTACACGGTAGCCAGTTTCCATCCCCGTTGCACTTATTACTTATTTGTTTGCTCGTTCTCATACAGCACTGTATGTCCTGCATCACACTGCTATGTGTCCCACTGCTCCCCCCGCCCCCACACCTGTCCCCTTCCCTGTAACTGTGGTATAAGAATTTCACTGTGTTCCTCTGCACACTTGTGACAATAAAACCTGAAACTTTCACACAAAGGAATCGAGGGAGAACCATGCAGAGTGAGAGACACAAGTTTGTCTTTTATTCTTCTATAATCATCTTGTAACTGTCTTACACATCTGGGGGAAATCTCACTGTTGAACATGCTGTTTGCTGTGTTAAACTGCAATGTACTGCAAAGGAATCCATCTTTGCTGAGGATTCAGCTACCACTCAATCTGTTACAAAAAACAAATTTTAAAATAAACTGCATTGAATTACAAATCACCTTTTTAATATTTAAGCATTTGATGATTCCAAGGGCCCCTGAGTGACAAGGGCCCTAAAATACAATTGGGCTGGGTTGGGGCCCAATATGATATGCTTTCATGGGGCCCAAAATCTCTAACAACACCCGTGATGGTAAATATTAGTCCAACAGGAATAGATCTGAAAGCCTGTATATGTGACAGTTTACATGTGTGTGTGTGTGTGTGTGTCTATCTGTCTGCCTGCCTGTTCATCCCACTACGGTGTGTCCCAGACCTGCTCCGTCTTCCTCCTTTCAGTTCCTGCTCTTCAGCGCCCCCAGCCTGAGCTCCAGCGCCATGACATCGCCCACCCTTTCCTCCATGTCTCGCAGCAGCACGCTGTTCCCCAGCAGCCCGCTGCGTTGGTGCAGCCGCAGGTTGTCTGCCCGCACCCTGTCCCGAGCCCGCTTGGCGCGTGTCAGAGAGTCACGTGACCGTGCCACCGCCGCCTCCATCTCTGCCAGCTGCGAGCGCCACGTTCGGTTCTCCATCTGCACCCACTGCAGCTTCTCCTTCACATGCGTCAGCACGCGCACGGCGCCCGCGATCTTGTTACGCAGCTTCAGAATCTCCTCGTCTCGCTCCTCGACCTTATCGCTGTACGTCTGGTTCTCCAGCTTCAGCTGCTCGAAGTCGAGGATGTGCAGCCCCTCCGCCAGCCCCTTCTTGGCAGACAGTGCTCTCTCACCCTTGGCGATGCCCGCCTTCAGCTTGATGTTCTCCAGGCGCACACGCGCCAGCTCCTTCTCCTTGTGCCGCTCGGCTGCCTGGATCTGCTCCATCTGGGCCTTTGCAGATTCCTTGCCCAGATGCC